GACGAGAGGACCTAGCCTGCTCCACGCGGTTTCCTGGGCAGCCATCGACCGAATTCGCCACTGGGAGCTGTGTAATGGGCAGTGGCTCACTCCGTTCCGTACTCTCTAGACTACCACCACAAGGATTCACTCCTCTCAGCCTCCCTCGACTTTGACCTCTGCTCTTGGTCTCACCAAGAAAGAGTCACGGAACAAGGTACACTGCCCGAGACTTTGGAGCGAGGTTGGTGGCGTCCTTGGCTTTCTCGGCCGTCTGGAAAAAATCAAAAGAACCCTGCATGCGAAAGCATGCGAGTGACCCCTAAAGCATGCAGCATGTTTCGCATAGCACTTGCATTCGTGGTGATTCCAGCAGAGGACAGACGCCGTTCCAACAGAATGGCTTCTTTCGTCATCGTGCGTGCATTCGTATCCGCCGAAAATGATTGTTTGCCCTTGAGCCCTCACTTGCACGTTCCTTCCCAATGACCAATCGTGATGCGCTTGGCTTCGATGAACTTTCGCTCTGTGTGCGCTGAGGCATGAGAATGAGCTTCGGTACAATCAATCTGATCTCTTTGGGATTTGGCGTCCTCACGCGGACTGTCGACAAGAACGGACAAATTCTCATTCGTTTGATGGGGCCAATTCAAGCTTCATAGACGCGCGCATGCCTCTCTCCTCTGGTCTTTCAGTCCGCCAGGCCATGTCGCGCTTCTTCTCTGCAGAAAGATACGCAGAGCAACATCAGCGTGCCTCTGGTGAGAGGGGCGCGGCTCTTGTGTCGGCGCCCGCGCGCAAATGGAGTCGTCGTGTGTGCTGCACGGAAGTCAGAAAAGCGGCGTGGCTCTACTCAGATCAGCCGTCCCTTTGGCTATTCATCGCGAAAAGCTCCCTGATGTAGACTACAGTCAAGATGCACAGGCCTCCTTCGGACGGTCTGATGGAAACGTCCGCATCGAAGCAGGGTCTGCTTCGTCTGACCCTTGACTCATGACTGTTCGCAGTCAATGCGATGTGCGTCGTCACCGACCGCGGCAAGCGCGGAGCATGCAAATTAAGCGTCAGCCATCTTTTCTTGCGCTTTGCTTTGCAGTGAAAGGGCGCTAAAGAGGTGCAGCGTCGATCTCGCTCCCTGTGGCGCACCGTGCGTGCATGCAGTTTTCTATTGAAGCCATCCATGCGACATCCTCGCAAAGGGTCGAAGCGCTGCGCTGCGCTGCGTTGCGGTCGCGGTCGGCCAGAGTAGTCCCGCTACACACCCTACATCATCGATCCAGCCCTTCGGCTCGGCTTTGAGCTCAACAAAGTCCTCCACGTCGCCTGCGCGAGTGCATACACACACAGTCAGAAGACACATGCAGGATGCATACGGTACATTACAGGGAAGGAACCTCCCATTGCGTGGAATCCGTCGTCGCTTAGTTGGTTCCTTCAGCAAGCCCGCTTCGTTTCCAGAGATCTGTCTGCACGGCAGGGAAGGTCTCGGTCATGTGCACAGGCCTCGGCGTGCTTGCCAAGTCGACCGAGTACAATTCCGACAGCACGGGTCTCTCGAAGATCCGGCGAGTTGACTTGACATGAGTTCATTGTGTGATTTTACATCGGCGTGGTGTCAGGCGCCAATTCCATCCCACCCATGCGCCAGTATCATGCGCAAATCGTTCACGCTAATAATTCTGAGCGGGATTCACCGTTTGTCACTCGGTCTCGACTGGGGTGACGCTTCGCGGCGCATCCGGTCGATCGCTTGATGCGGCGGCTCGACCGAGGTCCTACAGATCGAAGGGCTCGGCTCCCCGGCTTGCAAGAAGAAGGGGCC